AACACACAATTATGTGAAGCTGGAAAAATTAGAATACTGTGCAAAATTACATTTATTTCTGTAATTTAACTAGACCGAGATACCATTTAAAGGTTCGGGAACCTTTACAGGTGTTTCTATTTGCAATTTTAAATTTCAGCTGATTAGGGTCTTGTTAAATATCACACAGTGACCTTTTAATAGTCTAGATAAGTGTAATGTTCCTGTTAGTAGGTCCTCCTGTTAAGTGCTTATTTATTTAAATTATTCAGGTTTATAAAAAACATTTGGACATACATTTTATTATGTTCCAGTCAACAGTCATTTATATTTCACTATTGTAGTAATTCTTGCATTCTTTAATGAAAAAAGTAACTAAGTAGTTATTTTTGTTGGTAATCAGTTACTTTTATGATCTTGTAACTGAGTTACTTTTTTGACAAAGTAATCAGTAACTATAACTAATTACTTTTTTAAAGTAACGTTCCCAACACTGATTAACGCACAGGCCAGAGTTTCATCTGCCCGTGCTAGGAGAACGGGACCTGCTCTAGCTGTGAGAATGCCGTGTGTGTGCGCTCACCATGATGACCAGTAGAATATTCTGGAAGTCATTTCTGAATCCCAGTGTGGAGCTGCAGAACAGAGCAAAGTTTCCTTCCAGAAGTTGCAGGGTAAAAAATAGGCTTGCTCAGTCAAACTGCACACGCACGCACAAAAATCATTTTTGTTCCGTGAGGATTTATTCCACACTCACCATGAAACCCAGTGAGGTAAAGAGGAAGACTACGACCAGTTTGGCGTATGGTCCGTGTCCCATCACGAGCCTGATTCCTTGAAAAAAGGCATGGGCTGTGACCAGACCTGGGAATGCTCTAAAAACAGAAAATAAACCAGAAACAGTCAGAACACCACCTGATACCTGTACAAGTCTCTAGAAGCATGTTGCTTTGATTCCTTGCAACATCTTTCACCTAGTCAGCTGACTTTCATGCTTTTCCTTATTGCCTTTAGATTTGACCAAAGCTTTGGCTTGATCACACGGCCCGTATTGCTCAGCTACAACTGTCTCGTTATTGGTCACAGTCAAGCCCCTTCATCACATCACATCACTGTTTTTCATGGAACTTGAAATCAGATTTACAAAATAATGGATCATGCAAAATCATAAGATCTGGTGTAATTCGATATGAATGACTGACCTAAAAAATGAACAGATTTCAGATGAATATGTAAAACCAACAGAGTTGGTGCCATTTTTGTGTTTGCTGATGAAACTTATCTGTGGTAGCCATCTTTTGCCAAGTTAGAGCCAAACGCTAGTCTGAGCAAACCGCTAGTCTGAGCCAAAAGCTAGTCTTAGTCTGAGCCAAACGCTAGTCTGGGCTAAGTGCTAGTCTGAGTTAACAGTTAGTCTGAGCCAAAAGCTAGTCTGAGCTAACAGCTATGCATCCTCGAACAATTCTCCGGACATCGTTTACTGCAAATCGTGATAATTTCAACAAACATTAGTCAGCTAGCAAGTAGCTAGTTTTTGCTAGCTTTAGCTTTAACATCGATTGACTAACCTTATACCGGCTTCTTCTCCTGGACTGTCTGGACGTGAGGGGGCGGCCTCTGTAAAACACGGGAATCAGAGACGAACGTGACGTTGCTGTGTCGTTAAAGAAACTTATTGGTTTATTTTGAATTTTCCGATTTTCCTTACTGATTGGAGGATTAGCGCATTGTGTTTTCTAAAGACTTCAACCTTATTGGGAGATATTTTTCCACGTGATGTATTCTATCCCGCTGATTGGCTCAAATTCGGCTATATATTTTTCAATCCAACCGCCACTCACGTCTTTGAACAAGACTCGTTTCAGTGCGCACTACGTAGGCTTGCTTGGGGTTTTGCCTTCTTTTTAGCGTTGTAAAGCAGCATTTTGGAGAATATTTCATTTGTGCTTATTGTTATCTGTCGTTTGTTTGTTTGTTTGTTTTAAGCAATATTAGCTGTATTCAGCTGGCGTGTTCACTTCTTATTATGGTAAGTAATACTTGCATATTTGCTGTGTCGATTTTTACGCAAGCAGCTTCATTATTCTTGTGATATAATTTGGAAAAGAGTAAAGTAGTTTTGTTGAATCTGCAGCGTGAGTGAGTGTCCATGTGGCACGTGATGTAATATTTAACGGTAAGACACGAAGGGGCGGTGGACTCGCGCTGCTGCGAACCGGTTCCGCCGTTACATTCCCGCAGAAACTGGTTGATCACACCGGGACCAGACTCGAGTCTCAGACATTGGGGTTTTACAACCACAATGTCCTAGGAAGCGAAAACGCTTTAAAAAGGGAGGGAGGAGTCCTAACTGTTGCTGCAGGCTGTAACGGGGTGACTCGAGCTGGGCGAGAGTTTGGATGTGGCGTGGCTTTTAACCCAAGCGCGGAGTGACTGACGCCGGGTTGAATGGACACGCTGTTCTGGGAGCCGAGTGCGCAGCTGTATGGTGACCTGGTGACTAGGGCTGCAACAACGAATCGATAAATTCGATGAAAATCGATTACTAAAAGCGTTGGCAACGAATTGCGTCATCGATTCGTTGTGTCGCACAACTCTTCCAAAAGCGCCCCCCCTTCCCGCCCGCCGTTGCGCGCAGACCAGAGCAAGTCAGATCAGCGCGAGGGAGAGCCGCAGATCAGCGCGAGGGAGAGCCGCAGATCAGCGCGAGGGAGAGCCGCAGATCAGCGTGAGGGAGAGCCGGTACAGGCAGATCAGCGCGAGGGAGAGCCGGCAGACTTGAGCTGCTGCGAACCGGTTCCGCATTGTTGCACAGCGATCCAGGCAGCTGCTTCCAGCGCACGGTCCATTCTCAAAGTGGCGCAACCAAAAAACTATAATTAGCACACGATCGTTCATGTCCGCACATGTTCTCTATTTTCTGTCTTATTTGTGCCTGAAGCGCGCTACTGCAGAGCTCATCACCTGTGCTGTGGTGATGTCACCTCACGCAGCATCGAAAACGCGCTCTGCGCTTTTCGGTCAGGAGATCCCTTTGATCTGCTCAAAAGTAACTGATGAGGTGAAAAGGTAAGAATCCAGGCAACAGATTTTCTGGAGAATTAAGAGGAGATGCAGGAAGATGAGAGACAGACAGGACAGGAAAATAGTTCAATAAAAACAAGAAAACAAAACAAAGTGTTGAAAAGTAAAATGTAGGTAGATTTATCTCCACTACACGTTTTTACCAGTAAAAAACAATAAGTTATACACATGTCATATTTATACATCTGATACAATTCAGATCACCTTCAAAACTCAGTCACACACCCAGGGCCGTTTCAAGACATTTTGGGGGCCAAGGCAAATGCCCCCCCCCCCCCCCCAATAACTGGGCTCCCCAGAAGCCTCTGTGTAATTCATGCCCTCTCCAGTAGTGTTAGTTATATGGTGTTTATAAAAGCCCCTCAGACATTACTGACATGCTCTAATATTATCAGATGAAAAACTAAATTATCAGACATGCTGTCTCATCTGCTTATTTTATAAACTTGCAAAAAGTAACAAAACCATTTGAAAGCCACTATTTGTGGATTCTCAGAAAGTTTCCATGGAGTGTGTGACAACTTATTTTTTCATTGATCCTATCGTCTAATCTCACAGTTGAAACAAGCATCCTTAATAATCTGTGCACAGGAAGCTTACCGATGCTGTAGTAAAACAAAAGGTATAATAATTTATTATTAATAAAACCTTGTTGCAGCACTAAAGCAGAAAAATTAGATTTTGCATTAAATATGCAAAATATTTACATATGAATTGTTTTAGAGCCCTTTAATTGGCAGAATCTGATATTAATTTAGTTCTTACAAAAAATGGGTCCCAACATGGTTTGTGTGGCGTTGCCATAGTGTGACGTCATAGGCACAGATCCCCTGTCCTCTTGTTTGGAAATGGAAATATGGTCACCCTACATTAAACAAACTGTCCACCCGGGCTTTTGCACTGCACAGAGACGCTTCGCTGCCTACGACTGAACGTCAGTTGAGAGTCAGTCTCATGCAGACTGACCAATGAAGAGAGGGCCTCAAGTTAAGACCCTCTCCTCATTGGTCAGTCCACACGAGGTGGGTCAAAGGTTACTCTGGGCGGGTTACGTGTTGTCAGGCATTCAAGTATTGAGTATATTTACTGCATATTACAGTAAAATATTCTGTATGTGACCACATTATGGTGATCCTTGGGTCGTGATGATGGAGCCCTTGAATATTGTTGCCCAGGGTACAACAAAGTGTTAATCTGGCCCTGGTTCCGCCGTCACATTCCCGCAGAAACTGGTTGATCACACCGGGGCCAGACTACTAGCATGTGGTTTTACAACCACAATGTCCTCGGAAGCAAAAACGCTTTTAAAAGGGAGGGAGGAGTCCTAACTGTTGCTGCAGGCGTGTTGTGTGAGAGTGCAGTTATATACTGGTTAATATATTTTTGGGTTCAGTTGCTTTCATGTGGCCTAATGTGAGTCTATTTGGGATCATTGGAATGATCAGCAGCATTTCTTGATGTGACTTTATGGCAGTTGCCCAGGGCATCATCGCAAGGAGGATGGCATTCATTTACTTTTGTTTTATTTGGTATTTTTTCAGTCATTTTTGGAAATAGTGATCAATTTTGATAAATTCACAGCCTATGTTTAATTACATTTAAAATAAATGTCAACAGATGAGATCAAACAAAACAGATGAGAATTGCCCTTAAGCTGTTTAACTTGGACCAAGCATTTTAGGTCACAGATAGATGTAGCTTAGGGTCTCTGTCTATACACCTTATAAGACAATTTAGGTGATGGCATGTTGTTTTTCTGCTATTGAACTGTTTTCTAATAATGTTGTGTTAAATAAAGTGAAGGAAGGAGAGAAATAAGGTTTCCCTAGCAGTTTTTAAAAATTTCCCCATGTAATCTGATTAATCGATTAATCGTGTCGAGACCCCATCCGATTAATCGATTATCCCAATAATCGTTTGTTGCAGCCCTACTGGTGACACAGCTGAACACGGCGAGTCCTGGTCTGAGGCTGGTCTCTAAGAACAGGCAGGATTCTTAGATCTGGCTGGTCTGATCTGAACAGGCTTCGTGATCTGAGACAATCTGGTTTGGACTCTGGGTTAGGTTCGGTTCGAACAATGACTTTGGTTTTATGCTTGACGCATTCACTTTCCGCGCGGTGATGCGGCTCGCAGATGGAACGCGCTTCACAACTCGCAGTGTTTATGGTTTGTGCGGCTTGTCTCTGCGGTGAGCCAATATTCTCCCAAACTGAACGGGGCAGCATGGAGCTCTACAGCATGCATTCAACACTACACCATAGTAGAAGTAGAACTTACTGTTTACAACATGGCATTTCAGCATTTTTAACAGCGTTCTCGTCTTTTCCGACAGTGCGAGCTATTTCTCTCCAAGAACTATTAACAACATGTTGATCACGGTGACCTCTGAGAGCTGAATCATACAAATGTCTATTTACGAACCTCTGCCATAGTAGTTCTTGCTGGTCCGCCATGTTTTTCCGCGTGGTTAGAAATTTTCCGAGGTGTGCGTTGCGGAAATTCTGGGCCGTGCGGAGGCGCGGTGGAGGGGCGTGGTTGTTAAAATGACGCAACTTTTCCGCGCGGAGCCGTGCGGACCTCGCACCTGGTTGATGCTTGATGGTTGATGCCGACGTGAGTCGGTGTTGTGCGGCACTTCCTTAAATAGATTTGGCGGGTGACGTGAACCGGAAGCTTGGCGCTGGGGATGTTGGGTAATGGAGTCTGAGCGGCTCTGCGGTGCCTCCCTAGAGGAGGTTGAGTGAGTGACACAGGCGTGTTGTGTGAGAGTGCAGTTATTTACTGGTTAATAGGGCTGCTCGATTATGGCAAAAATAATAATCACGATTATGGTGACTTAAATTGAGATCACGATTATTTAGGACGATTTTTCAATTTATGTTGATTTTATTTGTTTTTATTAAGTCATAAAATTGCTCAGGGCACAATCAGGACAAAAATAATAAACTAGATGATCACTAAAATAACTCCTGATTCCCAGTATAAAAAGACCAATATACTTATAGCTCACAGTCTATGACCCAAGGGCTATAGACCTTGGTTTAACTCATGTAAGTCTAACCAGTACAGACCCAAATACCAATACCTTGCAAATACTGACAGCAAGAATTATACAGTGACATTTATAACAAATAAATGCAAAGAAATTGATGTTCACAAAATGTTGCATAACATTGAGTCGTGTCAAGGTGCTGTAGGAGAGTGCACAAGCACCGTGTCCTCAGAGAGATTAGTTATTAGTTATCAGCGTGAGGAACTTATTTCTACCTTATTTATAAACTATTTATTTACAGGTCCATCAGTTAATGTAATAATTGTCCCAACCACAGCTACACCCCCAACCCGGTCTCACAGCAATCGGGGCAAGCTGCACGTGTGTTTAGCGCGCCGCACACGCACATTTAGTCATTTTTAGTGGCTCAGGAGTCCGCAGGTGCGGTGTGTGTGTCACTCACTCTGGTTAATCCAACAGGGAGCCAGCTCCGAGAGCTGTTAAGCTAACCTGCAGGAAATGTTGACGACAGTTATCCAGAAAATAGCTAAGGGTTCCCAGAGATGTTTCTGAGGTGTTTGCTAGGTACTTTTAAGTTTGAAAAGTCAAGAAGGGGGTCTGAAAAGCTGCTAGAAATAGCGTCAAAGTCGCTAAGTTGGCAACACTGTGGAGGAACGCTTCATTTGCAACTCAGGGCAGCGCAAGCGGGAGGAGCAAATAATCGGCTTGTTTTGTTTTTTTATAATCGTTCAAAACTCAGATTGTAATCGTGATTAAAATTCGATTAATTGAGCAGCCCTACTGGTTAATATATTTTTGGGTTCAGTTGCTTTCATGTGGTCTAATGTGAGTCTATTTGGGATCATTGGAATGATCAGCAGCATTTTTTGATGTGACTTATGGCAGTTGCCCAGGGCATCATCACAAGGAGGATGGCATTCATTTACTTTTGGTTTATTTGGTATTTTTTCAGTCATTTGTGGAAATGGTGATTAATTTTGATTAATTCACAGCCTATGTTTAATTACATTTAAAAATTAGTTGTTTGACATCCTCAATTATAATAAATGTCTACAGATGAGATTAAACAAAACAGATGAGAATTGCCCTTAAAGAGCAAGTCACCCCCAAATCAACTTTTTTTTGCTGATAAAACGTGGAAGTAACGTGCATATTTGAGTCACTTCTGTTTTATGTTTCTAACAGAAACTTGTAGTTTTTCACATTTGAATGTAATATTGTCAAAAGTTTATTTTTGGCTCCCTGGAGGGCTAAGCCCAACCAGCCATTCCTCCCCATCCCCGCATATTTCTCTCCTCCTGCTTCCTCACATCATCACACAAACATACACATAGGACCTTGGGGGGTGGGCATATCAGGGAGTGCGGGTATGGACCCATTTCCGCATTTCTGTGACAACCTGCCCCCCAATTTATTTGCACCTTATACACTTCCACTGACGACATTCCACACAAACACACACTTAGGGCCTTGGGAGTGAGCACATTCAGCGGCATTTGGCAGGGGGATATCTCAGCCTCCTCCAGGGTGCCGGTGGCCACTTCCAATTTTAAAGTGCACTTAGACACTGATGGCTGAGGGTGTAAGTGGGGTGGTGCGGTGGCATCAGCTGGCATATGCTGGATGATGCCCGCACTGCCCACTCACCACAGCCATGGAATACACCTCATCAACGAACACTAACTATATTGGAGCAGGCGGAGGGAGACTAGGGGTCTTAGCACACCTCTGTTGTTGCTTGGCTTCCTGGGGCTGGAGGCTAAGAGGGAGATCTGGCTGTCTGGTTGGGGTCTGGGGTGGTGGGTTGCTGGGCTCAGCGTTGGGCGGGGAGTCTGTTCATCAGCACCCCAGCAGAAAGGGTCAAACTCTAGTAATGGTTGTACCCAATGTGCAGCAGTACCGGGACTAGGGTGTGTATAGGGAGCATAAGTGGGTGTCTGGCGTGCATTTTTAGAAGTCTTTGGTTTCATGTGTATGTGTGAGCATGAGAGGGAGTGTATTACTGTGTTTGTGTATGACTGTATATGTCAGGTGGGGCCTTTGACTCCTCCCTTCTCCTGGGACTTGTTTTGATGATGTAGATCTTCGTCTCCCCTCTCCCTGCCACACCTGGTGTGGAGTGCGGTACCTTGGTCTGCCTGAATGTTCGTGGCTCCCGGGTCAGGGGGTTTAAGATTTTTGGCATCTGTCTGATCAATCCCGGTGGCTACCTGGTGGGGTCTGGGTCCCTGGGCTCTGCTGGGTCCCAGGCGGGGGGTGGGAGGCTGCAGGTGGGCTTGCCGCTGATATCTCCCGGGTCTCTGCCAGCTGCTGGTTGTGGTCCCCCCAGGGCGATCCTCTGCACCTCTCAAGGGGGCGGGGGCCTTTCTGGTTGCAGTCTCCTTGGGGTTTTTGTGTTCTGGGGCAGCGGCTGGATCTCTGGGACTTGGAGCTCTCTTAGTCTCCTACACATCTTTGGGGGCAGGTCTGTGGCCCCTCACACTATCTATTGGACGCTCCTATAGAGAAACCTTACATAAACAAGCGTGTGTACACACACACAGGTGCTCATATAAGTATGGACTTGGGCACGTTCAACACATGTCTTAAGGCTGTCGTTGCCACTAAATGCACTATGATTTATTATTATTGTGTGATTGTATTTCTTCAAGTTGACACAGTCATAGCTTGCTCCTGTTGTGTTGTTGTGTGTCCCATTTTTTTCTCTTCTTTCTCTTTCTGCAGGCCTAGAAGCAGACTCTTGTTCATTATTGTTTATTTTTGTGGACCCCCCCCCCCCCCCTTTTCTGCCCCCACCTTTTGTCTTTGTCTTTATCTTTCGCCTCTGATTCCGTGTCTGGTCGGAATTACAAAGTATTCAAAAACAATAAAGTTTAAAGTATCAGACGTGACATTAGCTTTGATGCTCCACTTGAGAGTAAATCTGTAAGGCTTTTCACCAACATTCAGACATCAATTCTGTTTGCTTCACAGCCAGACAGGACACGGGGAAAAAATAATGATAAAAATAATGTAATATTGTGAGTTTATTTTTAGTCATGCAAAGTTTAATGTAGAAATAAGTAAAACGTTATTAAAAGTTACAGTACTTAAAGCTAAACTGAGATTAAAGAGCAAGTCATCCCTTACAAGAAGCCTACTTCACTCCCACTTCATGTTTGAAAAATGCAACAAATGCTGTTGCCTAGCAGACCGAGAGGGTGGAGCCACTAACAAATACACACACTCACAACATTGTGACATCATAATGTACCAGTTTACATCATAGCTTACCTCTTAGCCAATAGCGGTGGCAGATTTAAATTCAAATGCAGTGAGTTTTTATCTGACAACGGCACAACCCTGACAGTTTCAGGCAGAAAATTTAAATTTTAACTAAAATGCACTAAAGTACAAAACTATTGACTACACGTGTCTGCAGCACGATTAGACACACATTTATATAGTTTATCAGAAAAAAAATAGTTGATTTGGGGGTGACTTGCTCTTTAAGTAAAATAATGTAAATACCATAAGACTATTCAAAAGTTTGACTGATAACAATGGGGTGTTTAAACTATTAAAGTTGCATTGTTTAAGACTAAATTAAAGAATATGTTGTGACTGAATATTTCATACAATGCAGTTATAAATAAATGTTTTTTAGTATATGTATTGCTGACTATTTGAATTAGTCTAAGCATTATATATAGAATACAGCAGGTGTATGTGCACTTTCATAAGTGCAAGTAAGTTCTAATAAAACTTGACATTTAATAACTTTTGATATTTTTAAACAATAGTTTGAAATTTAGCATGATTTAAAACTACATTCTTGGGGTTTGATTAGAAATTTTCATTTTTATATTATGATTCCTTGTTCAGGGGTTATCAGTAAAGTAGTAATAATTATGTTAATGTATTTTGTCATAGATGTCACACACAAGTTATTAATTTTTATCCTTTAAATTAGATTATACTGTGATTAACTCATTTAAAGAGCAAGTCGCCCCCAAATCAACTTTTTTTTCTGATAAACTATATAAATGTGTGTCTAATCGTGCTACAGAAATGCATAGTCAATAGTTTTGCACTTTAGTGCATTTTAGTTAAGATTTTAATTTTCTGCCTAAAACTGTCAGTGTTGTGCCGTTGTCAGATAAAAACTCTGCACTACATTTGAATTTAAATCTGTCATAGCTATTGACTAAGAGGTACACAGTGATGTTAGATGGTACATTATTATGTCACAATGTTGTGAGTGTGTGTATTTGTTTGTGGCTCTACCCTCTCGGTCTGCTAGACAACAGCATTTGTTGCATTTTTCAAACAGGAAGTGGGAGTTGAGTAAGAATCTGGTCATGGGTGACTTGCTCTTTAAAATTTAGGATTGTTTTTACAATTATATAAGTTTAGCAAATTGATGGTTGTATAAGATTCTAAAAGGTGTGAGTGAGTGAGTCTAATTCTGTCTTTACCGAGTACAGACACATGATAACATAGAAATCCATAGTGTTTGTGTTGCTTTTCTAATAGTGCTGTCATGTATTTTATGTTTCAAACAGCATTCACTATGCCTGGCAAAGAGTCCAAACGCAAGGCGGATGCTGCTAAGCGCAGCAATCGTCCAGCTCCGCCTATTCGTATCGGGATTCCAACGCACATCAATGATGATGTTAATTGTATGTATTGCAGTATTATTTCGCAGAACAAATTATTGTAGTGTTTTGCAATCGATTTAATCTATACTGTATTTATGTAAGATGAAAAATTATTAGCCAAAAAGATTGTTAATTTTTGTGTGTGTGTTTTTGTTTTGTAAGTTTCTGGAACTGGCTTTCGTCATCGAGTTCGTCGTTGGCCGACCAGTGTGATTTCTAACAAAGCTCACAAGTTGGTCCTTCCAGATGAGATTCCTGACAAGAAAGTGAGTGTAATGTCCACAAATATTTAAAATATAAATATAGATTTTCTTCCAATACTATCTAGCAGTACTCTGGGATTCTAAGGAAACGGTCAGATGGTGTTGAAGCCGCTATCAGTTACAGTGCTGCAAACAGACTGAATCGGCTTCTTTTTGACATGTGCCTAAAGTCTACCAACTTTTGAATCTTAATAGAAAACCTAGTTGTGTTCATCTTCCTTTTTAGTCGGTGCTTCTCAATCTGTGATTTAGAACTTAAGCTGCGCAGTTATTTTTACATATCTTTATTTGTATTTATGTTGGTGTATTCTGTGATTAGTTTTACCATTTCATGTTTTATTGTTTGTAAACTTTGACTGTTTAATGTGATCTCTTTCTTCCTGAAAAGCATATTGCATTGCCGTTTGTATGAAATGTCATAGAAATACAGATTGTTTTATATTGAAATGTATTTATTAATTTTTCTAATTTAGTTCATCCTACTTGTTGGGGACTCCCACTTGAGGTCCGTGGCAGACGGCATAGTCCCTATGCCGGTTGGCGGCCTCGCTTTTGGTGTGATGTCCACTCCAGGAGCCTGTGCAGATCTTCTGCGCCTTGAGGTTTCACAGGCTGTGTTACCTCGGGAGCCTGATGCTGTTTGCGTCATGGCTCCTTCTAACAACCTTACGGCCAGCAGAACAGTTGAAGAGGCAGGGGATGCATTTGAGCGGTACCTTTTGGCTGTTCTCAGTCGCTGGCCTAAGGTGAGAGGCTGATTTGTGTAATTTTGAAGGTATGAGAGATGACAGTAAACGTACATCCTTAAAAATAATTGTATTCTTTCTTCTTCTTTTTTTTTTTTTTTTTAGGTTTTCTGTACCTCCATGATTCCCCGTTTAGTTGGATCCTGGGAGCGTCAAGACCTGTTTCAGCAGGAGTACCACCGCAGATCGGCTAAGCTAGGTAAGTTGCAACATAATTAGATGAAAAGGTAGTATTAACGACAAGCGTTATTGCTATTTACTCTTGGGTATCAAACAATCACAATTTATAAGTTTACATGAATTTTTTCCTTCTGCTTCGAAGGTGTAAGTTATGTGCCGATCCACGATCACCTACCCAGGTATCGTCTTAAACTGTGGTGCCGTGATGGTGTAAGTATATTGCTTGGAAGAAAACAAGGTAAAGGTTCTTAAGTTTGAGATGATAAATTTGTATTCTTTTGTTCGTGTTTGTGGTTGCAGATCCACCTCAGTGATAATCACGGGATGCCTATACTCACGCAACTGATGTGGAATGCCTCCTATCAGTTCTTGGAGACACACGCACCAAAGCCACTGGTGCAGCACCAGGTGTCTCGTCCGCAGAAAGCGAGTATTGTGCCCCGTGTGGTTGTGAAGGGTGTGGAACGCATTCCACCTCCACGCCCTTCCGAATGGACGTTTGTGAGACCTAGCGGGAAGGTGAGAGACTTTATAAAGTATAAATATTGTAAAATGTTTATAATTTTAGGCAACTGGGCCAGTAATGCTTCTAAATGTGTTTTCTTTTATTTACCATTGCAGAGAAACCATTCAGGGGAATTTGAAAAGACTTCTAATTCCCCCAAGAAACTAGTGGTTTTTTCTAAGGTTTGTGAATGTTTTTGATTGATCTTTTTCAAAGAATTTTGATTAGATGATAATATGTGGTGAATTTTCTTCAATAGGCTGATGACACTTCAGTGGCCTTGAAGGAGTGTTTCATCCCCCTGAATCCCGTTAGGTTCTCACCTTCAATTCTGGCTGCCATGGACACGATTGCTCCAGCGGATGGTTCCACAGATATACAGGTAGCTTTAAAGCAAAAGTTTATTATTATCTTTTAATGTAAAGTGTAATGTTGTTCCTGGTGCTTGTAATATGGGCTGTCTGTATGGTATATTTGAAAGTATTGTACTTAACCGTATTATTTTCTGTTTGTAGACTACATCTGTGCGACATTTTAAGAAAGCAGCTAGGCGTGTCCAGCAGGAGGTTGATTCATTAAATTATCTGGCATACAAATACATTGTGGTGTTATTTTTCTTAACTGTTGTTGTTCTTGAATTATAGGTTGCATCCACACCTTGCATAAATCCTCTTGCAGACGTGGAGTCAGTTCGGTCTAGGAAGGAGGTAAGAAGTGTGTGTTTCAAACATAAAATCTAAAATAATCTTTATTGACTATGTATTGCCCTTTAATTTCTTCTGTATAGGTGTTGGACTGTGACCAGCTGCCTTCACCCCACCATCAGGAGGCATCTAGTTGTCCTGGGTCTGTCTCTGGGTCTGGTGCTGCCCATGCTGTGATGCTTCCTTCTGGCCATCACGCGCATGCATCACCCAGAGGTCAGTCTGCTAACACCCCTTCTTGCGTGCGTTCACAGGTTTTGCTGTCGTCTGTAGTTCCAGAGACAACTGTTCAAAATCCTGTTGTAAATAATTTTGATGAAGATAAAACAATTTTACACAACGATGATACAATTTTAGACTCTGTCCTAGGATCATTTCATCAGGGCGATGGGCGTTTTAAATATGGGGGAGTTCAGTGTGCAGCTATTACTGTTGTTGCTTTAACAAAGCACAAACAGAAGAGTGTTTTCTCTTGGGATTTTGCCGTGTTGGATAACGTTGTTGAGTTAGGAGATGAGCTGTACACAGATTTGCGCGACAACAAGAAGATTAGAGGTGGACATGAGTTTCTCTCTGTTCCAGACTTGCCAAAGGAAATTGACATGGAAGAACAGAGTTTTAAGCTTGTTTACGGGGATTTCGTTTTAGGAGATGTAGATGTAGCTGAAGGCGAGTTAATAGATGCTGGTGTGTACACTCCTCTCCTGGATGGATTGAAGAAGATGTGCACACAGCATGAAACTTGCATTATGACATTAAGTGGCAATACTTGTGCTATCATTTGTGATAATGGACGTTATGCTGTAGTAGATTCCCATGCACGCTCCGCAGATGGCATGGTAGACCCGACAGGACAGAGTGTAGTTCTGTACTTTGCGAACCTTGATAATGTTTTTCAACATTTTCAGAGATTTGCTAGTGAACTGGTGGGATCTCAGAGGTTATTTGAGATCACTGGAGTGGATATTGTTCAGATGGACACATTTAAACATGTATCTGAACAAACAGATGACATTGACATAAACCCTGTTATTTTTGTTAGTGATGCTAGTACTAAAGATTTTCATTTCAGTCCCGTTTCTACAGACGTGTCACAGGCGTTGAGTAAATGTCTGAATGTGAAGTCTGCGATGGTTGATGAATCATCTCCTGTTCCTTCATGTAGCACAAGTGTGGTTAACGTTGATGATGACAACAGTATTGTAAACAATTATACAATTTTAAGCTCACTTACAGGATCATTTAATCAGAGCGATGGGCGTTTTAAATATGGCGGCGTTCAGTGTGCAGCAATAAGTCTTGTTGCTTTAACTAAGCACAACATACAAAGTGTTTTTTCATGGGATGTTGCCATGTTAGACAATGTTGTTGTTTTGGGCGATGAGCTGTACACACATTTACGTGACAGTAATCTAATAAGTGCTGGGAATGTGTTTCTTTCTGTTCCAGAATTGCCAAAGGAAATCGTCATGGGCAAACAGACTTTTAAGTTGAATTATGGCGATTTTGTTTGTGGAAATGTAGATATCGTTGAAGGCGAACTTATAAATGCTGGAGTGTACACTAGTCTTTGGGATGGTTTGAATAAGATGTGTACACAATATGAAACATGTTTTATTACACTTGGAGACAATACTTGCGCTTTACTTAGTGAAGATGGACATTATGCTATTGTTGATTCACATGCTCGTTCTGCAGATGGAATGGTTGACCCAAACGGTAAAAGTGTAATTCTATACTTTAGTAGTCTTGACAATGTTTTTAGATATATTCTGAGGTTTGCCAGTAAATTAAATGGAACTCAGAAGTTGTTTGAGATTAGTGGAGTTAACATTGTTCAGATGGACACATTTAAAAATGTTTCTGAACAAACAAGGTTGGCTCCAACAACAGGAAAGGAGGTTAGACGTGAAGAGTCATTTACACTCTCGGAACCAAAAAAGTTACAGACAGATGACATTGACATAAACCCTGTTGTTTTTGTTAGTGATGTTAGCACTAAAGATTTTCATTTCAATCCCATTTCTAGAGACGTGTCACAGGTTTTAAGTAAACGTCTGAATGTGAAGTCGGCAATGGTTGATGAATCATCTCGTGTGATTGGTGAATTGGGTGTACCATGCATGAATAAATCAATAGTGGCAGATGGAAACTGTTTTTTTAGAGCACTTAGTCAAGCTGTTTATAGCACCCAGGAATATCATAGAAAAATCCGTCTTGCTTTGGTCAATCAGTTAAAAAAGAATCCTCAAACGTATCAAACCATTTTAAGAAGTGAGTATTCCTCAGTTTCGCAGTACCTCACCTCGTCCAGGATGCAATACGTTGGCAGTTGGGCAACTGAAGTGGAAATTCAAGCTGCTTCTGATTATTTTGGCATTAACATATTTACTTACTATAATGATAAATGGCTTAAATACACTTCCAACAGCAACTTTTCACAGCAGGCTGTTTATTTGGAGAATATTAATGGTAACCATTATGAGACAGTGGTTTGTGTAAAACAACCTAACACAGGAACTTGTTATGGTTATTGTGGCCCTGTAAATAGTATTTCTGGTAGATACAATACTCGACATGCCCCTACAGAACATTTAAAATGTTCAGTAGAAACTGTGACACTTGAGCCGAGTTCCATAGATACAGATGGTGTTAGTGTTGTTCATTCAAATACTTTATTTACTCCTATGTCTGCAGATTTTTGTAAAACTCTGTGTAATCGGTTGAAAATAGATTTTGAGAAACACAATTCTCAAGAATCCACATCAGGTGGGCCTTTAGGAAATGTGTGTAAGACAGAACATATTATTGAAGATGGTAACAGTTTTTTTAGAGCTGTAGCTCATGTAATTAGTGGGTCACAGAAGGGCCATCGTAAGATCAGACTCGCTGTTGTTTCTTATATGTCCAAAAATGCTGAAGAGTGTGAGAAGTTTCTGGGAAAAGAACATGCTTCTGTGTCAGAATACATAAAAAAGTCACAGATGAATTATGTCGGTCACTGTGCTACAGAAGTAGAATTTAGAACTACAGCCAGTGTTGTAGGATTACCCATATTTATCAACAATGGCACAGAGTGGGTCAAATATAGTTCTCAAACTGGTAATTTTGTCACTGAGGGACTATATTTGTCAAACTGTAATAATCATTTTGAACCCGTTCTTTGCATAAGACTGGGTAATAAAGAAACATGCTTTGGGTTTTGTAAAGTTGATTCTTTGTCAGACAACGTAAACAAATGCAGAAGATCAACTATGATGCAGTTAAATGCTGACCCAAACATGGAAAAGATGAAAATGAGGAAGAGTTTTTCTAGATATTTAAAGCAAAATAAGGCTTCTGCAGAAGCCTCTAATTATAAAACGATAAGTGCAGTTAAAGACAAAATAAAAAGTCAGAAAAAAAATGCATACAAGCAAAATGCTGCTTACAGAATGAAAAAGATCAGCGTGACCAAATTTAAATACAAATGTCTTCTTTCACATAATGAGAAAGTGAAAAAGGTGGCTTTGTTTAACTACCATTACAACTTGTCTAAAAAAGAGGAAGTTAAACGGAGGGCCAAACATAGGTCCATTTTCAACTACCATCATAATTTGGCTCACAAAGACAAAGTTAAACAGAGGGCCAGACATAGGTCCATTTCCAACTACCATCATAATTTGGCTCACAAAGAAAGTTAAAGAGAGGTCCATTTCCAACTACCATCATAATTTGGCTCACAAAGATAAAGTTAAATGGAGGGCCATTTTCAACTACCATCATAATTTGGCTCACAAAGATAAAGTTAAACAGAGGGCCATTTTCAACTACCATCATAATTTGGCTCACAAAGACAAAGTTAAACAGAGGGCCATTTTCAACTACCATCATAATTTGGCTCACAAAGACAAAGTTAAACAGAGGGCCGTTTTCAACTACCATCATAATTTGGCTTATCAAGAAAAGCTTAAACAGATGAGTGTGTATAAGTACCATCATAATTTGGCTCATCGAGACAAAATGAAAGAGTTGAGTGGAAAGAAATACCGTAATGTTAAACATAAGACATGTTTAATAGAAAGTATCCAGCATAAAAGAATGCTGATTAAAGTAAATTCACAAAACTTTGATTTTGTTGTAGATCAGTTTTTAGAGAAGGTGAAAGATGGACCTGATTTTGTGTGTTGTGTCTGCTCACGTTTGTTGTTTAGACATCAGGTCTTAAATTGTAATCAAGAATACTATAGAAAAACCAAAGAAATGTCACTTATAGCAGATAAATGTATAAGTGACAATCATCTGCACAAATGCAATGATGCCTGTAGATTACCTTGCAAATTTAATTTATGTAGAAATAAACTGTACATCTGTTACTCGTGCCATTATAAAATGGGTAAATGTCAGATACCCCCAGAAAGTTCAATCAACAGGCTGACTGTTGATCCCATCCCACCTCAACTGGCATGTTTAAATACATTAGAGCAACATTTAATAGCGATGAATATACCATTTATGAAAATGTTGGCTCTGCCTAAAGGTGGTCAGAATGGGATTCATGGCCCGATAACTTGTATACCTGCAAATATAGTGGAAACGTGCAGTTTGTTACCACGTACCAACATGGAGGGGTCTTTATTACCTGTAAAGTTAAAGCGTAAATTGACATATAAAGGACACTATGATTATCAGTATGTCGACACACAGCATGTTCAGGAAGCTCTTCAGTATTTAAAACATCATAATTTGCATTACAAAGATGTAGAGTTCAATGAGTCTTGGATTAACACATTTACTCAGGAAGATGAGTCATCTGTCTTGGAAAAGGATAGTGGTTCTAGTAAAGATGAAGATACTTGCATAGATGGAGAAGATGAGTTATTGCATGACAGACAACAACACTGTATGTTTCAGGACACCTGTCTCATGCCAGTAGATATAGGACAAGAAGCATTGGACCAGTATGTAGATAACATATTAAATGTAGCTCCAGGTGAAGGTAACAATCCAGTGAAATTGCTTTCAGATTTTACAAATGAAGCAAAATGTTTTCCCGTCTTATTTCCTTCAGGATCAAATACTTACTATGAAAGCAGACAGTTTCGTTTGACTCTGAATCGGTATTTCAACAACAGGCTTCTTCATGTCGATGGTCGATTTGCTAACAATGTAGAGTATATATTTTTTGCACAGTACATGTCTGAACTAGAGCAAGTTGTGTCCAAAGTTTCTATAGCTTTGCGTAAAGGTAAAAGCGGTGAATCTCAGAAGTTGGGTAATTTGATACAGGATCAGGATTCTTTAAATAAGCTGTTAGAGTTTGATGATGGCTACCGGTTTCTTAAACCAATTCGCGGCACACCTGCTTTTTGGCAATCTGCTCAGCGAGACCTCCTGGCTTGTGTGAAAATGTTGGGCAAACCTACTTGGTTCGCATCATTTTCGTCAGCAGATTTGAGGTGGACTAACCTTCTTTATAGTATTTTGAAACAGGAAGGCAGAACAGAGACAGTTGAACAGCTGGAGTGGGCTGATAAATGTGACCTCCTACGTAGGAATCCAGTAACTGCTGCCCGAATGTTTGATTTTAGATGGCATGTCTTCTTAAGGGAAGTGCTGATGTCTCCTGCTAATCCCATTGGTAAAATAGAAGATTATTATTATCGTGTTGAGTTCCAGCAGCGTGGTTCTCCTCACTGTCATTGCCTTTTCTGGGTTTCTGGTGCTCCCATTTTAGATAAGAACACAGATGAGGAAGTCACTGCATTTGTTGATGAATATGTCACATGTGAACTTCCTTCTGAAGACAATTCACTACATGAAGTCGTCTCATCTGTCCAGCAGCACTCCAAACGTCATTCAAAGACTTGTAGAAAGAAAAAAACTGTTTGTCGTTTTAATTTTCCACGACCCGCATCTGTTAGAACTTTTATTAGCCGCGGTGAAAAGTATCAAGATGCAGTGAAGACTTGCAAGTGTGATAAAACAGATAGCACTGTACAGTGTGCCTGTGCGTCTCAAGATAAAGCACGTAAACAGGAAATGGACAAAGAAGTAGCAAGTGCCATTTTAACTAAAGTGAAGACTGCTATTTCTAGTGAAGACTGTCCATATAACAGTGTAGAAGGTCTGTTTCAGGGCCTAGGTATCAGTCAGGAACTATTTGAAATGGCATATAAACGATTTAGTCGAAATACACATGTTGTTTTGAAAAGGGAAGTTAATGAAATCTGGATTAATCAGTATAGCAAGTTGCTGTTAAAAGCTTGGAATGCTAATCTTGATATCCAGTATTGCGTCGATGCTTATGCATGCTGTGTATACATAATATCATACATGTCTAAAAGTGAACGGGAAATTGGCCTTCTGCTTGCTAATTCTCAAAGAGAAGCAGCCAAAGATGGTAATCTTAGTGCTAAAGAGGCCTTGAAGAGTCTTGGTAATGTTTATCTTCATAATCGGGATGTTTGTGCGCAGGAAGCAGTCTACAGGCTAACTAACATGCATCTTAAGGAGTGTTCTAGGAAAGTTGTGTTTGTTCCCACCGGTGATAATATAGTGAAAATGAGTTTGCCTATTTCTGTTTTGAGGCAAAAAGCAGCATCACAGGATCTCACTTCAGATGACATGTGGATGACCGGATTAGTTGATCGTTATAAGAAGAGGCCAAATGATGATGTGTTCAATGATATGTGCCTGGCTACGTTTGCATCAGAATATCGTGTTTTGAGTAAAAACGAAAAATGTAGAAATCCTATAAAGTTAAGTAATGATTTAGGATTTGTTACAAAAAGAACTCGGACTAAACCAGCGGTTGTTCGTTACGCGCGTTTCTCTGAAACCAAAGACCCAGAGAAATTTTTTCAAAGCATGTTGCAGTTGTTTTTACCGTACCGCCATGATAGTCAGCTTAAGCTTAACTGTGAAACTTTTGAGGAATTTTACAGAACTGGTTTAATTAGATTTTTTGATAGAACAAACCACTCGGTAAAGGCTGTTGTAGATTTAAATCGGAGTAAATTTGAGTTAGAATCTGATCATTTGGATGCTGTGAATAATATAGTCAGTGATGTAATGTTAGAAGATGCATGGTGTGAGTTGTGTCCGGCAGTTGAAATGGAACGTTTGGAATGTGTTGAAATACTGAAAGAATCAGAACCAACAGTAAGTGACGAGGCAGAAGTAATCCCAGATTTGGCTCCATGTTCAAACCAAACTGCACATTTAGAGAAGAGAAACACGATGAGTAGAGGTGAAGGTCTGGCATTGATTAGGTCTTTAAATGAAAAACAGTTTTCTGTTTTTAATCAAATCAGGCAGTGGTGTGTAGATAAAGTTAATGGTAATAACCCTGAACCACTGCATGTTTTTGTTACAGGCGGGGCGGGCGTTGGGAAAAGTCATTTAATTCGAGCAATAGAGTATGAAACACAGAGATTACTGTCACCAAGCTGTAGACATCCTGATAATGTATGTGTAGTATTGACAGCTCCTACTGGGATTGCAGCATATAATTTAGGTGCAACAACAATCCACACTACACTGTCTATAGGAAAGGATGTGCGCTTACCGTACACTCCTCTGGGTGAAGAAAAACTAAATTCTTTACGTACAAAATATTGTGATCTGCAGCTTCTTATTATTGATGAAATATCAATGGTCGATCATAACCTGTTGTCCTATGTTCATGGTAGATTACGTCAGATTAAACAAACGGGTGACTTTTCACCTTTTGGAAATGTCAGTGTAGTGGCCGTTGGAGATTTCTTCCAGCTACCTCCTGTTAAAGGGAAGCCACTCTATTCTGATGGTGTAGGTAGCAACTTATGGTCAAGCCTATTTAAAGTTGTACAGTTAACTGAAGTCGTTAGACAGAAAGATGCTGTGTTTTCTGGACTGCTAAATAGAATCAGAACTCATACAAAAGGTACACCATTGTTACCTGAGGATTTAAAGGTTTTAAAAACTTGTGAAACAGGTGAGGCGAGCTCAGCATTGCACATATTTGCAACAAATAATCAAGTAAATAATCACAACATCCATCAGTTATGTCACGTTTGTCCTGATTACATATCAATTACAGCCAAAGATTATGTTAATGATAAAAGAACAGGCAAACTGAAGTTGTTGGAAGGGAATCATGCCAGAGCTTCTAATACTAACTTGTCAGAAGTGTTACAGTTGGGTAAGGGTGCGCGTGTAATGTTGTGTAAAAATGTGGATGTCATTGACGGTTTAGTAAACGGAGTTTGTGGTACTTTGATGGAAATTAAAATGTTAGAAAATGACACCTTTCCTAAAAAAGTTTATGTTCAGTTTGATGACCATCGTGTCGGCTTGCAGAGGAGGAAAACCTCCCAGTCTCTGTCATCAAATTTAGCTGGATCTACACCTATTGAACCCGAGGAGGAAAGAGCCACTGTTAAAGGTGGATTACGTCGACAATTTCCTCTTAAATTAGCTTGGGCGGTTACGGTTCATAAAGTTCAGGGACTCACTCTTGAAAACGCCGTTGTTAGTTTTAGAAAAATATTTGCACCAGGTCAAGCATATGTAGCACTTAGCCGTGTAACAAGTCTTTCAGGACTCACAATTCAGGACTTTGATGAAAAACGAATCTATTGTAAAGAAGACATTACAGTTGCAGTTAGTAATATGACACCTTTTTTGACTCCAAACTCACAGTTCGACAGATTTAACTCTTCTGCATTCACTGTGTTTTTAATGAATGTCCAAAGTCTGAATCGACACGTTAAAGACTTGGCTTTCTGCACACAACATTTGCAACCTAATTGCATTGCTGTCACAGAAACATGGGTATCTACAGACAGATCAGATGCAGTAAAGATTGATGGCTATAGTTTTTACAACTGCCCACGAGGTTTAGCTTATTCTAGTACCCATGAGTCATTGGTTGCTTTTCAAGAACAACAACATGGTGGTGTTGGCTTTTATACTGCAGATGGTGTGGCATTTAAAATGTTGCAAGCTCCAGACGTCAACTTGGAGAGTTTAGTGTATAACTTTGTTAACTTACACATAGTACTTGGACTCATTTATCGACCTCCTTTGTATCCCCTTTCTTTGTTTAAAGTAAATTTAACAAAGTTGCTTGATTGGCTGGAGCTACAAAGTGAGACATTAGTGCTAATGGGAGATTTTAATGATGACATTTTAAAATCATCAACAATATTAAAACTTTTGACTGACAGAGGCTATGCCCAAATAGTCAAACAGCCAACAACCGAAAAAGGCACTTTAATAGATCATGTCTATGTAAAATCCAACAAGTATATAACAGAAGCATCTGTTATTCCAACATATTTTAGTGATCATCAGGGCATCATGTGTGATTTTACACGGCTTTAGTTCATCTCATAAAACAGATTTGATTTGATCAACACCTAACTGCAGAATTTGTAAAGAGGTGTGTGTGTGTGTTTGTGTGTGGATGTGTGTGTGTGTGTGTGTGTGTGTGTGTGTGTGTGTGTGTGTGTGTGTGTGTGTGTGTGTGTGTGTGTGTGTGTGTGTGTGTGTGTGTGTGTGTGTGTGTGTGTGTGTGTGTGTGTGTGTGTGTGTGTGTGTGTGTGAGATCAATTTTAGCTTTACTTTTACTAATATTTTACCTTTCCTTACATGAGCTATCTCTACTGAGAGCAAAATCAATTTCGTTGTACACCTATGCAATGACAATAGAACTTATATATATATATATATATCATACATATAGTCTGTCAGAACTTTTCTATATGAAATATATTGGATGTATTGTTTTTAAGCAGTGTACATGTTTCGATGCTGTTGAGGGGTTGTGCACACTCAGGACAACTTCGCTGCCGCGTTCCATGTGTGAGAGCAGGGGTTGCAGGACAATGTGCGCACAGGAGTGTAGCAAGATTTTTAAACTGTGGGTGTTGAAATTTCTCTGATGCATATAGGTGAGAAGTGTTACATTGGCAAACTATTTCGCTGTCATGAGAGCAACGAAGGGGGTAATAACGCGCGGAACGTTTTGGTGTCGTGCATTTGTCATGGCACTAGAATTTCGGGTGTAGTGCAGCACCACGCCTATGTAGGAAAAACCACTAACTGCTGCTGTATGCTTCACCATTTCTGTGATTTCTTCAATTTTCATGTCTCCTACTGACCTAGTCAAAATAACATTTAGCCATTTCCCACCTTCTCTCAGCTCTAGAATGCTCTTTCCCCTTGTCCTCTGCATTAATCTCTCACCCACTTTTTAATCAAAACTAAAAACATATCTGTCCTGATCAGCAATTAATACACTAATTTTATTGTTTTAATGTTTGTAAGTGTGTGTGATTGTGTGTGATTGTGTGTGTGTGTGTGTGTAACTAAAAACATATCTGTCCTGATCAGCAATTAATACACAAATTTTATTGTTTTAATGTTTGTAAGTGTGTGTGATTGTGTGTGTGTGTGTGTGTGTGTGTGTGTGTGTGTGTGTGTTTCATCTTCTTTGTTGCAAAATGTCTAGGATGTACTGGAAAGCATTTAAACATGTCTTTTTTTACATCAAAATTAAATGTGTTTAAAAGCTTTCTAAAGGTTTCGTTTCCTGCATTAAGGTGGCATTTATTGAAATTAAACTGAAAACCTTTAGTACAATTGGCTTCTCATTCATCACTATTGAGTGATGTAACAATTTGTAACACCAAATTATGCATAATGTTAAAAATTAAACTGGTGAATTCCATGCTGTTTTAATGCAGGGTTTGCTTTACCTGGTAAAATGCACAAAAAAGCAAAGGCAATGGTCTGGTCTCCCACTTGTGGGACAGGGTTCAAATCCCTGTGTTGCCATGCTAATTGTGTTGATCAGTGAAAAAAACTATTATTCAAAAAGGCGAAAAACAATCAAATTTAAGTTTAAAATCTTACTTGCTGCAATTCACCCTAGAACTAAACACACATTTTGATTTCAAGGACAACTGATAAGATCACACTCATGGGCATTTCTAGCCTGCTTTTGTGAGTACTGAAGCACCCGTAAATTAATCTCTAGCACCCCTAAAGTTTAACATTTATTTATTTATTTTTACAATTTATGGTGATTTTTAAACACATTACTAATATCTAAAAACAATAGGACAAAACATTGTTTTACAAACAATAATATAGCAAATCTCCCCTGTCTCAAAAATGGTTTGATCGTGCTCACCTTTCCAGCTTCTACTCTGAGCCTTCCTGAGTGGCTGACATGCTGCCATTAGGAACCACGTTTCTTTCTGTGGGACAGACCTGAATTTACATTATTTTTCACAGGTCTTTGAATCTTGCATAAACTGATTGTGAGGCGAAAACAGCAGCTGTCAATCAAACTAGAAGGTGGGACTTTGACGCAGGTCTGGCCACTCACGAACCTTCATACCAAATGGTAACGTCAGAGTGATCCAGGACTCATGGGAGATGAGCGCAGTGGAGAAATGCTGTTACAAGAAAGGCTGAAGGGTTAAACTTGCTAAGGTTCTTCAGTAATCAGACAGGCTGGTGCTAAAGAAGCCCAATAATAAGCTTCTAACACAGACAAGGTACTTGTGTTGTTTCATAGCCAAACCCTTTTGAATAGCATTTAACGGTTGAAAAAATCGAATTAAATCCTTGATTATTTCTTCAGACATGTCTGAGGGAAAAAAAATCAGAACATAAAAATTAAATCTAACTTATGTCAGAGATCAAAGTCACTAATTGTTGTTTTCTCTCCTCTAAATTTCTACTGTAAGAGACTATTTGTCATTTTTGCTAAGCCACCATTCTGTTTCAGTTTTTTTAAATTCTGGGGGAAAAAAAGACAATTTATCAAAAAAGTTTGGATTTATTATAATGGGATGTTGATATCGGTAGAAAATTGTAAAAACAATCAAATCATGCATATATCATACAAAGCAAACAATGTTTAAGGAAATGGTGCTAAAGTGATTTAATTTGCTGAGCTACTAAAAACATTTACCAGTGTTGTGTAAAAAATACAACAAGTTTGGAATGTTTGTGACTTTATTTGTTGATGTTGTTCAAGTTTTAATTCATCTAGATGTTGCTGTCTTTAATTCACGTAAAATCTCTTTGAGCTGTTCTTGAGAGAATTAAAATCAATGTGGTGTAAATTGGTGTAAATCACACTGCATTATTTATCTAGAGCCAATTGTCTGTAGAAATAATTACACTTTTAAAAGTGTGTAGGTGGCACTGTAGAGAAAATGGATCACATGCTTTAACAATTTTCACATAGTTCAGTTAGACGCTGCATTTATAGGCGCTTACCAACTGCATAAGTTCCTAGAACCATCCTTCCAGTAAGAACATTTTCACATTGCATTCGCACAGCACTCAGAAACGTCTCACCACTAGGGCATACTCTATCTTTACCACACTGGTGGTGTGATGACAGAGACAAACTTTAATGCTTTTCTGACCACGTTTTTTGAAGTTATTGTAGGTTAAATTTATCTAGAGGGCGTTGTGACCAACCACACAAAAATCCCATTGAGGTCAGCTTTGGTTGACAAAGATGGTTTTCTGTTTTTTTGACATCAATCAGACATTGTGTGTTCTTTCTAGAACCAATCAGCTGAAAGGGGCGGAGCTACAGGGATTAAAACCAACAACCACATCAATGTGTTTGGTGCAATCATGTGATGTCACAAGCCAAGTATATTGCCATTCTGATTTTGTCTTCAGAAGTTAATAAAGTTTGAACCTATCTAGGGGTGCTGTGACCATTTACAACTACTGTAAATCCCATAGAGGTAATCTTTGCTCATCAAAGATGGTTTCCTGTTAATTTAGCATCAATCAAATGTTGCATGTGTCATCTAGAGACAAAAGGCTCTAAGTGGGCAGAGTTAAAGTGATTTGAACAAGTGAGCAACATACATGTGTTGATTGCAGTTGTGTGATGACTCCCACCAAGTTTAATATAGTTTACACCTTTTTTGCAGAAGTTACAAAAGTTTTATTGTATCTAAGGGGCGCTGTCCCAAATTTAGGAAACATTCCATGAAGAAGTTTGTAGGTTGATAACAGTCATTTGTGTGCAGTTTGGTGTGAATTGCATCATGCATGTGTTATTCAGGGCCTAATATCTGTTAGGGGGCGGAGCTAAAGCTATATATACCAATTACCACATGATTGTGTTGGGTTCCTTTGTGACACATAGCAAGTTTGATGCAGTTACGACCTCTTCTGTAGGAGTTATTACAGTTTTAAAGGTATGTAGGGGGCGCTGTGGTGATATTATACAACGTTCTCCAACCCTTTGTGCCTCGTTGACTAAAGGGCATGATTGTTCATTGCCATGTTCAGTGTCAGGCAGATGGGAGGCTGTTTGTGGAAGTTACAGTCAAACATAAGGTCATGGCGTCATGCCAGAATTCACCATGGCATCAAAGTCCCTCCCTATCTGGAAAGCTATCAGATCTGAATGGTCATTACAACATCATGAAGACAGTGCATGGCCTTAGTGTCATGTTGACTAAATTAGAGGGGACAAATATGGGCATTTCACCATAAAAATATAGACTTCCTGTAGTCAGGGGGCGGGGCTTAGGTGATGTCAGCTGTCCACATTGTCACTGTCTTCAGATGTGGTCAGTGATCACACAGACAAAGTATGAAATTGATCTGATCATGCACATGGGAGTTGTTAAGTCAAATAAGGTAATGGCGACTGGTCAAAGTTTGAGGCTTAGCCACGCCCACACCTTTATACTTATTTAAAATCCGACGGTTGAATTTTTTCCTCTATGTCTTAAGAGTATATAGCAGATGTTTGAAGGTGATCGGTGGAAAGGGAGAGGAGATATCATTCTCCTAATAACGTGTGCGAAAACGACTAAATTGAGTACTTGGACCAAAATGGCCGACCTCCTGTGCGACATTGCGCTTGGCTCCAAGAGACTTTTTTGTAGGTCCTGATACACTACATTAGTGTGCCAAATTTTGTGAACCTCAGTCAAAGCATGGCTTGGGGCTGACTGTTTTAATGGTCCTAGGGGGCGCTGTTTCAGAAATTAGGCCACGCCCACAAACTTCAGCTGTCCAATTCTATTAGGGGTCAGAGTAGGATCACTCATCAGAACTTGTGTGGCGATGTCACAATGACTAAAGAAATGAGAGACAAACGTATTTCCATGTCGTGATGGCGAATTTTGCCATGCTCCCAAAGCCCCGCCTTTATTCGAAACCTGCCAGTACTATAGACCAAGTGACCTCAACTTGTCTGCTGCTATTTACCACTGTTTGGTGGTGATTGGTTAAAAGGAGTCCAATAGGGAGCTGTGAAAAAAAGAGTGGCGTGGCGGCAGGTCAAAGTTTGAGGCTTAGCCACGCCCACACCTTTATACTTATTTAAAATCCGACGGTTGAA